AATGTACGGCACCTGATCAAACCTCTGATGTTTTAGATGTCCGTGCTTGCTCTGCTCCTATTTTGAATTGTTTTATGGACTTTGATATTGGACATTCGTTATCTTCATAGCCTTCTGTAAAAAAGTAAAACCTTCAAAAAAGAATATCAGGTCATCGATTTCAATGTTGTCTATAAATCATGGAATAGAATGTACTCTGTTGGACTTGTTTATGTTGGTGCTTTCACTTAAAAAATACAAACATTTTAATTTACCTTTAAATTTACCTGATCATTCTATTTTGTAAATGCAAGTAAGAATTCTCCAAAAGATATATCACCACCCAAACATTCCGTCACTGTATACACCTTTCCGTAGATAACGTGAAGAAATTTGGATGAGAAATCTAGGGACAGCATTTTCCTAGGAATGTAATGACAATGTCGATAGTGTTGGAAATCTTATCCGTCCACAGAGAACAATATAAATATGACGGGACTTGTTTACCATACACGGAGACGTAAGCGTAGCCATGGGCATCGGTCCTACAATAAACCCGGGATACACGATGTCTCTTCTGGTTTATTGCAACCAGGAAGACCGGTCTGCTCTATACATATAAGTAAGGTGGGAGAAGTTATTCAGAATTAAAGGTTATTTTTAAACATAAAAAAGATTGTTCTTTCCATTTTTAAAATAAGAGACACATAATATATTCACTTCTTCAAAATGAATCAGTAAAAATATATCTGTTTTTCATATATAATAGATAAAGTTGCTAATCATTTACTATCGAAAAAACGACATATACCCTTTTTTAAAACATCGAATTTTACTTATTGCATAAAAACTTACTGTACACAGGTCGTGTTTTATATTCTCAAAGTGAAATACATTCTGAATATAGGTGATGCATGTGTCTGGTTTCAATATATATTTTTTCAACCAACATTTACATGTGGAAGATAAAGTTGAAAAAGGGTATCGTTTTTGTTCGATTATCATCCGACTATAAGTTTTCAAAATATTCTCGACTATCACTCGGAGCTCCTCGTGGCTCGACCCCCCCCCCCCCCCCCCGTCCCACACACACACTTATTTGTTTGGGTAGCGCGAGGGGAGTCGGCCGAAGATTGTCGATTGCTTGACTATCGTCTCCATCATTTAGACGCATGCCTTTTTCTTACATATACATATCCAAACGGTTTGATGATCAAGACTCATTTTCAGTGTTTACTTTATTTAATTACCGGTCAACGATTGATGTTTACATCAATGTTTATTTGTTACTACCTTATGTAAATAAACAGTTAGATCTATATCATATTCGCATCAAACTCTGTCCTTTTGAAACTTTTAAATAGTTTTCTTGAAAAATCCAAGGAAAGTCATTTTTTTGATTCCTCGACACCAGAATATAGGCTCGTATCTGTTATTATGGATATTGCAAATGATAGGCTTTTTAATCCCGCACGTTGTACTGAAGAAAACCAATCCTTCTTTTCCTTAAACTTTAACTGCCAATAAAGGAAGTGACGCTGTTGATATAAGTAATATTCTTAATCACAAAAGGGCCCAGTCATGTATTCCACTATATTTCAAGCTAAAGACGGCACCTTGCATTTCCTGCAAATATACATTGACCATTGCTTCCAAACTTTTCAATAGCAATTTTTTTTACATGGCCTGAATATCGAGTACCTGAAGCATAATCCTCCATCGTGTTCATGCTCTTCTTCGCCCTATAACTTTAGCCCTGCTGAACACGTTATTGCAGGTGACGTGAATATAGTTAATAATTACAACCTTAGATCACTTATTTTAAAAGGTCTTAAATATAGGAAACCCCAAACCTTCAACTGACGTAGGAATTTCATAAATATTATGGATTCTGTTGAAGATTACACCAGACGATGGGCCAGATATGAAAAAGAAGACGTTGACACTTTGTCATGGATTAAATGTATCTGGTCCATGTTAAAATCGAGTATTTAAAGATTGAGGGGCAATATGAAAACCCTCTATCCTTCTGTATTCAATAATGCAGAAGTGAAAAAAGACTATGTAACTAATAATACAATGTTAATAGCTTTGGCTGCAGTTGTTTCCATACATACCCCCATTACACACTGTAAAAATATTGTTTAGGCTCGATTGGGAAAAAAGCGAAAAAAGATATAATTTTAAATGTAAAATATAAAGATTATAATTTAATTTTTACCATCAAGTATTTTTCCTGGTTACGTAATTTTCAAGTGCAAATACATTTACGTTCTTTTTTTTATTTCTTTTATACACAAAGCTAATAATAAAATATTTGTTTTGCAGTTTTGCCCCTTGTATCCAGGAGAACATCCATGTAAACAACTACCGTTGATATGAAGACATTGTTCATTGTTAAAGCAGTGACCACAGGACTGAGTTCAGTTAATACCATATATTCCTCCGTCACATTCTGTAGGGAAGACATCCGAAGAGTATTTTTCTTTAATATAGAATCCTTTTTTTAGAAAGAAGTTCAAGCATGATATATAAAACTAGAGGAATTGTGAGCGATGAGATCACTAAATAATACCCCCCGCTTCCATATAGCTATAATTGCAAAGTCCATGTTTTGCTGTGGCCGGGAAACCCAAAATATGTGTCGGATCAAAAAGTAAAATAGGAGGTGCACAATGGCAATATGTAATAAAGATTCTGTGAAAGTTTCATCAAATTCCATTCAGTGGTATGAGAGGAGTTGCGGATAAGAGATGGGTACCCCAAAGCGTAACAGACGGACGGAAGGACAGACGGACGTACAGACGGACGGACGGAATTAACGATTGCTACATACCCTCCCGCTTTTCAAGCGGGGGGTATAAATATAATTTGAAGTAGAATTTCATTCCATTCCTTTTAATTTTTAATCTCAGTGGCATCCAGTGTCCATGATTTTAAGCAACTTTAATCTATCGTCTCGGAGTATGTTTGTTAACATGACAACGCATGGATCTACTTTATCTTTGAAACAAAATATTGCAAGATATTAATCTTTACATGTACCTTCTTATAGGCATAACTATTTTAGACGAAATATTAACTATGTGCTACATTAGGATGGCTCGATAGATTTTTCTGCTTTTCTTGCGAGGATACTGTCCTGTAACTTTTCTTCAAGCCGTTGTATTCCATATAATGACCAAAACCTTACATATATGTTGAAGTTATTTAATACGCTTTTTATGAGGTTATTTGCACATGAATATGACTCATCGACATCTAGCTGTTCATCAACATTTCTTAATGATTTCCCGAATATATATAACTCTACTTAAATACATTTTACCGCTCTACATGTCCCCTACTGTACACTTATTCAATCAACTTTGTATCCACTTCAGAAAAAAACCTCCATTTATGTTTTTCCTCCTAGTAACATACAAATGACGCCCGTGAATGAAATAATTCATCGATTTGACTTATACCAGTATAGAAGCAATTACATTACTGTACATTAATACTTAAACTTTCCCCCTCCATAGCGTAGTAGTAATGCGTAATGGTAGGCATTTGTTTGTATTTGAGATGTGTGAGAAAAACCAATTATCAAATACTTGTGACATACGTACAGGGTGTTTCAGAAAACATGCAACCATTTTCTTTCCTCAATATATTGATGTGCAAATAGGAACAAATGAAAGTTTTGTAAAAAATTATGATAAAAAGGTTTAAGTTTTCATCAAAATCAAAAATTTAGAAAATAATTACCATTTAATTAATTATGACGTCATTTTGGACATAATTAAAAAAACAGATGACTTCATCCTTAATGTGGAATTTAATAAAAAGCATTCAACAAGAGTTCTGATTCTGCTTTATCAGAGCATACCACCAGTCCCTGTGGATATGGCAATGCATGAAATTAAGGTTTTAAAAATGTAAAGAACTTACTAATAGCAATATAAAATGGAAGTTGTTTAAATCTGTTAAAATTTGTGTCTAATGAAAGAGTCAATGCATGATCATTCAATCAGAAAAGAGAAAAAAAAATGAAAAAAAAAGACAAAACACATGGAGACGTTAAGAATGTTACTAAAGAGGCATTGTTCCAGAGACTCACATGAAATCCTTTTGTTTAATAGACGAGTTTGTGAACAAATTGAGCATTTCACGTGTACTTGATCAGATGCTGAAATATATTTTGAATCTTGAACTTTGGACTTAATTTTCGGAACAAATGTTTGTAGGAACATTCAACCGATTTAAATCCATTAAATAATGGGCTCCACACTCGATCACCTGACTTAACATCCTTTGATTCTTATCTAAGGTATTATTTAATGGCCAAAGCATTTAACACCCCCCCCTCCAAAAAAAAAAAGAAGTGATCTCAAACTAGTTTGAAAAATGAGACCTGATTCATTCCCAAGAGACTCATTGCAATAGTAAGGAGAAATTTCTTAAATAGGATAGATTTCTTCTTTCAGCAAAAATGACGTTATTTAGGCATAATTTTAACGAAGTGAAATTTTACAATTTCCTTTTTTCATTTGTTATTGATTATCTATTTGTCGTATTATCTTTATTTTCATAGGAATAAATCTTGAACTTGTGACTTTTAATTAGATAAGTTGGTGCATGGTATTGGTTAAAATACCAGTAAAATATAATCAATCAAAATGGTTGCATGTTTTCTGAAACACCCTGTATTACATAGTTAGACACAACATAATCTGAAGAAATATGTCAATCTTAATTATCTTAGGTACGTGTGATAAGGGTTTAGTTCAATATTGACTTTAAGCTTGTACTGCAATAAGAAAACTACCTAAGCAATGTTAAATATATAACCATTTCTCAACGTCATATTGTGCGACATGAATGTGATAGTGGTAAAGATCTATGAAGAGGGATAAAAAATGCATAAAAACCGAATTACTCCTACGTTCTTCATGAAAGAATTTGACAGATGTCCTCTCAATAGGAAATAAAAAATATTTACTGACAATCAACATCAGAATCAGAAAAGTCCATGTAAGTAAAGCTAAAAAGAAAATTGAGTTTTACATTAAAATGTTAACATCAGCAATGCGTCTATTATATTTCTTCGCCTGCTTTTGCATTTTGATGAAGTTCTTCATAAGTGTTTGGATGGTCAAGTTCACTAAGTTCTGCATAAGGAGAAATATTCCTGTCAGATTAAAAAATATTTAAAAATCAATCCTGGAAAAAGTTTTGAGTAAAGTGAAAAAGTTCAATATATAAGTGAATAAAACAATACATACATTTCTTGCCCACTCTGTTTATCTAAAAATTATAAGCTTAAAAATTACTACTTTCTGATAAAAGTTTACCTTTTTTATACATGTAATTGGATTGACATTTTATTGGTAAACAACAGCTTTACATACTTATGACTTACCACTAACATTAGCTTTTAATACAATTATTTCAAATACCATAGTATTGGTTGGATATAGACATCGTATTGAACACCATTGAATTTCACCATTTACTTTGTTCACATTACAGTTCCCTTAACATTTGTATATTTGATATTTATTACCTCGTATATCAACAGATGGGAATTCGTTGTAATAGTCTTTGTCATTTGGGGTGTCTACACCTGTCCTTTTCTCTGTAAAAGGTTAAATAAATATCAGAGGGATTATTTTAAAATATGGTGTCATATCATGTTTATAGCAATATTAAAGGTTTCGGTAAAAACACGGTCTTTCGATTTATGTATTTCTAACATAACATATGCGTTAAAAAGTATTACTTTTTACTTTAAAAAGACCAAAAATGACATTTTTATTTATTTGAAATGTGAAGTTTAAATAAACTTTTTCTGAGGGTGTTTAAATACATAAATGGCCAAAATAGAATTTACATTTACTCACTGTGCATTTTCCTCCAGATAACAAAATTTAGGAGACTGCTCATCAAAACAATTGAAATACAGACAACCACACTTGTTATGGTAATGGTATAGTCATTCTTACATGTGTCGCTAGACTGTGTCTGCGAAAATTGGACGAAATATGATTACAATTTGTATGTTAAACATTTGCAACCTATATATGTATTTATACATTAATCATAAAATGAAATTGATTTCAACATATGAGAAATACAAATTAAATAGATTTAAAGCTTATTATTTTATCACTAATTTTCATAAAATCTTTTTCATTTGCTATATCCTTCCCCTGTTTTATTAATAGCTGCGTTCCGAGTTATGCCGGAACACCGTTTTTCTTCGATTTTTACTCGCGCCTTTAATAAAATGTTCCTCATGGTAACTTCCGGTTTCATGACGTTTTCTTGAAATATCAATACAAAACATGAAAAAGCGGAATAGCATAGTAAATAATAGGAGTTATGGCTGTAAGATGTGATTTTTTTCTCCTGGCTTGTTCCCGATTTGCAGAACTATCTCCTGGACAAATGAATTCAGTGAAGTATGGCGAGAAACTTGGATCTACAATGTAGTTCGTCTTTGTGAACTCGCTCACAAACTTAATTTTGAGCGTTGAGGTACACCATACATGACTACATGTATCTATTTGTAATTAATAATGCTGTAAAATTTATGAATAAAATGCCACATAAACTGTCAAAGTTAAATTGTACAGTGTTAAAATATATTTACTATTATCAGGGACTTATATAGTATATAAGGTCCCTGCTAGTATTTAATTAATAGTTGCATCAGGGACCTTGTGTTTATGGGTCCCTGGTTGCATATTATAAAAATTCTTTTATCATGTCTATAGATATTCTCATGGTGAATATGTAGACATCGATACTCGACGCAGATCTGAGTGTTCGTTGGATCAGAGAAGGTGATATTGGACCAACTTCAAGTCAGCCATTCCAAGTTTCTAACTGGTATGATGTGTTGAAATTTTCACAGCTTACTAGATCAGCTCTAGAAGTAATTGTTCTTTTCACATGTTAACTGCATGCTTTAGTATGGAAATTACTTCAAGATCAATCATGTTATAATAGCTATTTACTGAGTATTAAGCATGGTCAAATATTTTACTTTATTCAAAACAAGACTTTATAGTACGTATGAAGTGTTGTAAATTCCTTTATCCTGCCTCTGATAAAAATCTGTGAAATTTCATTGGTCGAAAAGAATACTGCATGAAACGATGTTATATTGTCTACCCACATCATAATGCTAATGTGCCCCCTCAACGTGACCTACCCACCACACAACAAATCAATATGCCCGCTCCACGTGCCATACTGCACAGATCATAGTCAATACGTTGTTTTCATTTGAACACACAAAGAGTCTAATAATTGGCGTGATATACACATTAAATGATGTCACAAGGTAAACAATTGTTACAGAACGATTTACTAATACAAAAAAAAAACAACTATTTTAAAGAAATCTCTGACTGAATAGTTCCTTATGTAGACACTTAGAGGGGTATTAAATATAGAAATATACATGTGGGTTCCTGGAAAAAACATTTTGGGCTTGGCTTACGCCTCGCCCAATATGCATTTTTTCAAGGACCCCACATATTTCTGTATTACCCCTCTAAGTATCTACATAACTACAAAGAGTAAGTGTGAAATCAGAGAAAAAAAATCTTCAAATATAATTCATTTAGTGGATCTTTCATTTGTCAATGGGTCTAAATACTTAAAGATGGAAAAGAGAAAATATATGGCTGGATAGGGAATTGAACCTACATGTCAAACTCCTGCATCCTTAGTTAGGCGTTAAACTGATTGAGTTACCCTGGCCAATATTCACAGTTCAGTTAAATCATTAAAAAATACATAATAATTTCATAAGCACAACTTAGTTGATCTTACAGTTAGAAAAACATATAGGCAGCAGAAAGAAAAATAAATTAATTTAAAAACATTTATTTACATAAAATCATTTATATAAATTACATGTATTGAAAGTAGTATTGGAGGTTGAAATACCGGTAGTTTTTCAATTGAATGATTTTTATTTTTATATAGGAACAAAGATTTGTCACAGATACCAGAAGAAGAATCTTTTGATGTCCTAGTTCACCTCATGCAGAGGTGTGGGTGGAGTTTTGCATGTGTATCAAATTACAAGCAGGACAATCAATGGTTATCATCTTCATATGGTAGGACATATTCCTAAATTTTTCATATTCTGTTTTTAAAGCTATTGAATAAAAAATTTGATTTTTGAGTACATGACAAGTTTTTATGATGATAAATTTTGAGAACATAATTATAATTTATAAACATTATATACATATTTTCTAATTTCTTCTTTTTTATTACAGGATATAATGGAGCATGTAAGCATTGTGTTGCTTTCATTTTCTCATTGTCCAATTTTCTGTGAAAGGCACAGGGACTGAAGCACCGAGGCCTATACAGACATACAGTGTGTCTGGGATAAGCCAAAGAAAAAGTCAGTACCAAGTGAAATAAGCAAGATAGATTGAGGATTGACCAGTCCCAACAACCATCCATTGTGCCCACATTGTGTAATATCCAGACATAAAGCATGCTTGTTTTGAGAAACACACAGAAATTCAGACATTTGAGAGCATTGGCAATAAATTTTATTATAGCATTGAGTATTAAATCACAATGAACATAAAGAGTGGCTTAAATTTATAACTTTTAACTGCTACTTTCACTTTGTTCATGTTTGAAACTTTGTAGCACTATTAGTATATGAAGTATTTCTTAAAAACTACATTTAATTTTAAAAGAAGATACAGAATGTTTAATTAGCTCTCTGACAGTCAATGATTTTATCTTTTTTTTAAAAAAATGAAATACATCTCATTTATATAATATACATTGTATGTTTAGTTGTTTTTATACATTTGAGATTTTTAAAAATAAACATTTAACAAATCGGAAGCATTTTTTTTCCTCATAATAATTACTTCTTTACAAGTGGTTTTTGAAGTTTGCACAAAAATGCACATGCAGTAAGAATTTGATAGGCTACAGGTTTTAGATTTAGCGGCATGGTTGTTGACAAAATTCGAAAAGTTTTCAATCTACCAATAGCTCTCTCTACATGAATCCTCAAGTGAGCAATATGCGGATCTCTCAGGAGTGTATCTGGATCATTAAACTGTTTTGCATTTTGCTGCAAATTGTCTATATCAATCATGCTGAAATCTGTCTGAATTGATGCATCTGTGTTGCTGAGTGTTATACCGGTATGCTCTCCATAGTCATGATCTCTTGCCGTATCTTTAAATATAGCAAACACCAGTATTAAAGATACTTTAAGAATGTGAATACAAATATCTGTTTGATAATAGCCATTTGTAATTTTCAAATTAACTGATGATGTGAATTCATAATATCAATAAAAGATGTAAAATAACAATTTTAAGCACCTTTCCATGGGTGGGAGACAGATGTCTCCATGTCAGAAATCTCACATTCATTTACAACAGCTATTTAATTCTTGGGGATTCATGTCATCAGGCAGTGTTTTTCCTTTATTTCAGGGATCTGGGTTAGAATAGGTCCTCAGTACCCACTTGCTTGTCGTAAAAGGCGATTAAATGGGGCGGTAAAAAAACCAAGGCCCAGTGTCACAGCAGGTGTGGCTCGATAAAGATCCCTCCCTGCTCAAAGGCCGTAAGTGCCGAGCATATAAATTTGCAGCCCTTCACTGGCAATGGTGACGTCTCCATATCAGTGAAATATTCTGGAGAGGGGCATTAAACAGTATACAATCAATCAATCAATCCTTTATTTCAAAGTAAAGGGTTAGAGATCAGTTGTAACAGGCTAGAGGCGAGGTTTATGAACAGAATCTCTGTGGACCTTACAACAAATTTTTATTTCAAAGTGGCATTTTTGTCAATTGAAGTGGTCAATTTGGCCGGTAGGCGGTTCTTAGGGAAAACACTGCATCAGCATCAACCTGAGACAAGAAATGAAGCAACAATTAAAAAAAAACATTACACCACTACACATGGTCAACAATACATGACAGTATACTGAATATTATATAATTTTTATAATTATATATTTGATATGTTTAAGTGTGAGAATTATTAAAATAAAGAACATTGAAAGTCAAAACAACTTACTATATGTTTTACTGGTGTCGTAATCACTGCAGCCATCCTCGGCTCGCTCTGCAGATACAAGCATTGTCTTCATAGAATTGTGTAAATGTAATAAAGCCTGTTCTCTTTTTAGAATTGAGGTATTAGGGTTAATCTACAAACGAAATTCATTGTAGCAGTGTATTAATAGCAATGGTTGAGTACATATTAATTGCAAAGCTTGTGTACGTTTGATTTTTCTTTAATTTGCATCTGTGGAATATAAGCATTATGAGGTAAATTAATTATATTTTAAACCTTTTTACTTTATTTGAAGTTTTTATATTCAAATAGTTCTGGGTATGGATGGTCAGGAGTGAGTTTGCCGTCCACAAAGTGTAAGGAACTGACTTGTCTCTTTCTTTTAGGCTTGAAGTTTGGTCCTCTTCTGAGAAGGTCAAGACATTTTTTTCTTTTTGTTGGTGCCTTTATTTTGGAGGGGAAGTCAAAAACTGTACTGATGACATGTACCCATATCTCCCCTGTATTCAGTCGTCAGATGTTCAGCCAGGAGCTGCGCAGGAGTACCAGCCGGCTTCTTTTTTCCTTTCAAACGGTATGTTTCCAACGTAAACAATGACAACCGGAAGTACCCATGGGGAACATTTTTGAGAAATCACGTGATCGGCGTGAATAAAAGTCGAATAAAAACGGTGTTCCGGCATAACTCGAAACGCAGCTATTACATTACCTGCGCGTACGATAGACAATGTCCTGACTCGTGATGACAGGTCTGGCTGACACATTCCGTACTACAGGTCTCTTTACAATTGACTCCCCAGTACGATCGACTGCAAACTACAAAACAATTGACAGGTTGAAGGACATTAACTGTCAACCTGTGTATCAGTCGGAGAAAGAAATACATAATGAAGTGTTTCATGATAGAGCACAGAAAAGAAATTATATTCATGGCATAAAAAATGAAATTGAAAAACTTACAAATTAACTAACACTTCAAAATAAAAAATATACTGTATTTCATACCATTTGTACAAAGAGACCCAGTGTATCCCACAGAACACCCTTCTGGACATGTACCGTTGACATGGTTACACGTGGTATTGTTTATACAACGTCCACAGCTTTCATTGCAGTTATAGCCATACTTTCCAACCTCACACGCTATTGAATATGATATTTATTACTGACATCCTATTATGTTTTCTTTGTTGTACAAACTTGTTAATCTGACTTTTCTAGGGGAAAAAAATCTATGTTTAGTTAAAACTTATCTTCCCAAAAGCTTGTTTTCTAGTAACACACACAATATTGAAAATAAAAACTTTATAATTTAAAACTTAAAATAAATATTTAAAATCATTATTAAGTATTTCCAGGGAAAAAAATCTATGTTTAGTTAAAACTTATCTTCCCAAAAGCTTGTTTTCTAGTACACACACACAATATCGAAAATAAAAACTTTATAATTTAAAACTTAAAACAAATATTTAAAATCATTATTAAGTATTTCCAGGGAAAAAAATCTATGTTTAGTTAAAACTTATCTTCCAAAAAGCTTGTTTTCTAGTACACACACACAATATTGAAAATAAAAACTTTACAATTAAAAACTTAAAACAATTATTCATAATCATTATTAAGTATTTCCAGTTAAGCAAATCCAGTGAAATAAATGACACATAAAATTTTGAATATCTACATGTTATATGAGAGATCACAAGAAATAAGTAAAGAGAAACAAAATTCAGATGTACACAAAATTAGATAAGTTTCCCACATCTTTGTTTGGTGTGCATGTAATTGTTATAGATCTAGATGTCATTAACAAAGCTACACACAGATTCTTCACCCCTATCCACAATTCCAACAATAAAAACATACCAATGTTGCAGAGTGTTCCCTTGTATCCTTTTGAACATCCTTGTAAACAGATACCGTTGATGTGATGGCACTGCTCATTGTTTAGACAATTACCACATACTTGATTGCAATTAACGCCGTACATTCCACCGTCACATTCTGTATAAAGGTTTGAAAAGAAATCATATTATGAACATATATTTAAGATTCTAAATAATTGACATTTAATTTAAATGCAATTTTAATGTAATTGAAAATACGATACCTTTGTTGCAAAGTAAACCTTTGAAACCCACAGAGAGCTAAAACTGACTAAAAATGATATAGATGACCAATGATGAGGAACTGATTCTCTCTTGTAGGTCTGCAATCATGGGAATAATTTTTTATATATATATTTAAGTGATAATACCTTGCTGCAGTGGATAAACCATTTAAAGGGAGATCCATGATTATCATGTATCACAGCCGAATATTTAATATTTGAAAAAAAAAATCACTACACGTACAAACGTCTTCGAATGTTAGATATAAATTAAAGTAAAATAAACTTCCCTTAAAATTCATTCCCTTTGAAGAGTTCCATATCTAGTTACCAATTCAAACAACCATAATTATATCTCTCATATTTTTGTTCTAGAAAAGTTACCTGTAGGGAGCACATATCCACTGATTTTAAGATGTCCCCTTAATCATTTTTTAATTATTGGTTTCTATTGTAAATAAGTGAATCTCGTAATTCTTTATTTTGGACATTTGTATTGACAGGTACCTTTGTCACATAGAAATCCTTTGAAGCCAACAGAACACCCTCCTGGACACGTACCGTTGACGTGGTTACACTGTGTATTGTTCGTACAATGTCCACAGCTTTCATTACAGTTGTGTCCATACATGCCACCATCACACTCTATCAGAATTATATTATATATTTTTATGCTTGATTGGAAAAAAAAACATACAGGATATTATTTCATTGTAAATAATAGGTACTGATACTGGTTTCTGTCATGAAAAAATGATAATTATCACTAGTTTTGCAGTTTGGTCCTTTGTATCCAGGAGAACATCCTTGTAAACAAGTACCATTGATATGGTGACACTGTTCATTGTTTAAGCAGTGACCACAGGCCTGAGTGCAGTTTACACCGTACATTTCCCCGTCACACTCTGTAGAAAAGCCATTCTAAAGAGTATACAATGCAAGTGGCTGAATATTAAACAAATAAATATAGACTGATAATAAATTACTAGTTCTGCAGCCCGGTCCTTTGTATCCAGGAGAACACCCGTGTAAACAAGTACCGTTGATATTATGACATTGTTCATTGTTTAAGCAGTGACCACAGGATTGAGTGCAGTTGAGACCATACATTCCTCCGTCACATTCTGAAAATTGATGGGGGATTTAAAAAAATGTTATCGAAGATCTTGGGGTATAAAGTTGTTTTTACGTTTCCGTCCGACCGTCTGTGTGTTTTTTTTCTGTTTTGTTCGCCAAAAAAAAAAAAATAATTAAACGCTGCTAAACGTTTTACTTTTCGGTGCTATAATTTTAATTTTCACAAGTAAATTCCTTGTGACAGGACTTTTCTTCGGATACCACAAAATTAGACCCTTTAACCTTGATCTAAGGGTTGAACCCACGTAAAAAAATTAAACCTTGGCCAGGCATATTTTTTTAACATGTTTATCTAGAACTTTCATACTTAACATGTGCATTCATTGTGACACAGCTTTTCAACAGGTATTAATATTTTTGACATTGATCTTAAAATTTGACCCAATGTCTAAAAACTTTAACCTTGACCGTAACTTTTGAACAGTTAGAACTGGTGCTATAGGATTCACAAGTGTATTTTTGTGAAAAAACATTCCTCTAAATAATAAAAAAAATGACCTTTGACCTTGGAGTTTGACTTAAGTTTAGGCTGGCATATGAAAAACTTCAACCTTCGCCATAAACTGCTATTCAGAAAATGTAAATAATTTTGGTGTTAAATGATTTTATATATATAGTCCCATCTTTTCTCTTTTTTTTCACTTAATTAATGTAGAAAACGCTCTTTAAGACAGCATTTGAAGTCGCCCCTTCTGTTTTGCACACACACAGACTTACACATACGGAAAAAAACAAATACAAACGCATTTCTATATCACCTCCAACTCCATTCTGAGGGAATAAAAATAAAATAATTTTATGATTCTTCTTACTAAGGTATTTCCATGTTATTGAAAAAAAAAATGAAAAAAAAATTAAATTACTCCGTGAAAACATTTTCCACAAATGGAAAGAAATCACTTACTATAACTGCATTGCAGACCTTGAAAGCCTGATAAACATCCACTTACACAGTCACCATTTACGTCACACTGCTGATTCTGACAATTGACTGGACACGTTTGATTACAATATTCTCCATAATATCCTGGAATATGGCATCCTAATTAACAAATTAATTTCTAATTATCAATAGTTTTGTCCAGATTATCCACAAAAAAATCATGCCTATTGAAAATAACTCAAAGACTTAGGATATCTATTTAGAAGTAATGTTTCTTGGAATGTGAAATACATATATTTTTGTTATGCCTGCAACCTCTTGTTTGATTCCAATTGCATTTTAATCAGAAAAAAAATGCAAAAATGCTCTGTAATTTACCATAGACCTCCAATTCACACAGTTCATTGTATGCGTACTGAGAGTAGTAGTTAGGATAAGTTACATTAGGTTTCCGTTCATTATAGTATATCACATAACGTCCATAGATAGAACAGTTGATTCTCTGATCCTCTATAGGTGTACCACTCACGTTCTGTATCTCATGGAAACAAAGATGGCTATCACCTTTAGAAGTCGTGTTTGAAATGTAGAGGGAAAATCCTGCAAATCTGCCATTGTACGCACTTGGACCTGAAATAAAACTGATTAATTTCAAATTTGTATAAAAATATACTTGTTTTGAAATACAAAGACATAAATTCGAGATGTTCTTTCCGAGTCCGCGAAGATGCGATGTCAATTTACTAATCCTGTTTTTTTTTTCTTTAAGAAAACAAGTTAAAATCCACATAACGTTTTCTGTCACCTCATTGTCATCATTCGCTTTTTGAGTAGAGTCAAGAAAAATCATGGTTTTATCTTTGTTTGAGAGAAGAAGCTGATTAACAGTAGAAGTCTTTGGTTTACTAAGTCATGTATAAATTTGAAAGAAAATGCTAGTAGACAATTTGAAGTTTCTAGTTTAATCCCCTATACACAGCCTTCTATAAATATTATTTTCTACATTTTTCATTACACAACTTCGATTTTATCGTATAAGTCCAGAAAATTTTTTATTCTTGTATCTTGATCCAGTTATTGAATATTAAAACACACCTACGTGGTAGATTATCCGTTCTGTAGAAGATGTTGATGTAACTGATGCTGACCACACTCTGTAGATCTACTCTCCACTCTGCTGTAAATTGTTCAATTGCTGATATTGTACACTGGTTGCCCGTAGCTCCGCGATCAGTATAATTCCCATCCACAGCCTTGTCTGCTCCCCATGGCCAAGCTCCCGAATAATTAGCCATCTGCCAGGCAGGTTTCCGTAATGCTAAGTTTCCTATAAAAAGACAGCAATGCACTTATCATTATAAAAACACTTCATAAAGTTATTAATTTTATGCAAAGATATGTAATGAAAAACTACTTTATGCAATTAATTTCACTGTTGCTTTATATATAAACATTAAGATTTTTTAAGATAACTGTGGTGACTTGATCAATTTAATTATTTCTTTCGATTACATGTGTAGCAATATATCGTCATCACCTGTATATTGGGTTGATCTTGTTTATTCGGCAAACAATTTCTAAATCTAGATATGCTATTGACAAAGATGTTGATGAAATAAAAATACGAACAGCTTTGTTTAAAGTTAGCATATCGAAATCCAATGGACAATACAAATACCTGGCTTGAAA